CACACACACACACACACACACACACACACACACACACACACACACACCTATATATCTATCTATATCTATATCTATCTACTACTATAAAAAATATTTGTAGTTCTGGCCTTGGGGGAGAAACAATGACACATCTTAAAAGAGTTTTCTAAAATATGTAAAAACAAATTTTAGAAACTATGAATAAATAACTTACCAACTCACGCCGTTTATCATCATCTGTGGCCTCATCTGTTAATTGTGCAAAAACTTCAGACAAAAACTTCTCATCTTCCTGCATGAGAAGAAATAATGGCTATGAAATATTAACAAAGTATTGTTACATCATGGATATGCCTTACACAAAGTATAGGAAAAACATTCAAAAAGCATTTTCATCATGAAACCTAAAGTTTGAGGATATATTTTTAGCTTTCTGAAACCTAGAAATACTACTTCAGTTATCTATCAATACATACTTAACTAGAAATCTCACCACACAAGACTAGGCCAAACAAACAGGAGCTCTAGAGTTAGAACAGTGAATTCCTTTACTTTTCTTTCTGATAGCTTTTCTAACCCAGTTTTTATTTACTCACTTTAAACACAATTCAAATAAACCCGAGGCTCTCACTGTCAGTTCATATAGTGCCAGAAGGACAAGCACAAGGCGGGGCACAAGCACAGCAGGGAAGGGAGCTGGGTTACGGCAGCAGGTACAAAGGTAAATAAAGTAACAAATCACTATGGTAGCTGCATTCTAATGACCTGGAGTATTAAAAGACAGGCGTTAGTTTCCTTACGTGCTCATTAAAAGAACACATAGAGCCAAGGGTCAAACCCAAGGCTTGCGCACGCTGGTCAAGTAACCTACTACTGAACTACGGCCCCAGACCAAGTATGCATCTATTTTTATAACCCTTTTTATTTTCATTATACATTTGATTGATGAATTTTTTATATAAATTTGTATGTCTAAAATGTAGGAGGTTTACATCATAACTCATTGTTTTAGTGAAGCAAGTAACCTTCAGCTTAACCTATATTTTCTACAATAAAAAAAATTACAAAGTAAAAAATTACATAATATTGAAATCCACTTTAGATATTTGCTAAAACAACAACAACAAAACCCAGCTACTAAAATTATGGTGCTTTTAAGGTTTCATTATATTTTCAAAACCCTTCTCTGTGAATTGTAATTTCTATTAATTTAAATTAACATGTTCTAAAATATTCATAATAGTAATATTTCTGACAGATAGTAAAATCAAATCACCAGACATAAAAGATGTTTTCAATTATCTGTACTTAAAAAATATAGCTCATACATTAACGAAGGGTCTCACACTGAAATAAAGTAGAAGACATATCTGAAGATATATGCGACTTAAAGCCACTGGTTAGAAAGCAGCACATCAATGGCAAGTACTCAAAGTATAAAGAGATGCAATAGGGTTTTAAAGTAGTCTGAATTGGAATGGCACTTCTCTGTGTATTTCATTGACTCCTTTTATATAGTATATATCATGGTTTGATATATTCAGAGAAAAAGATTTCAAAACCCACCTCTATGAAATGTAATTTCCATTACTTCAGGTGGCTTGTTCTAAAAATATTATAATTTAGTATCTGTCATTATTTATTTCCCCCATTCTTACCTTTTTTTTTTTCTTCCCACATATCTCCCAGATTAAATTTTCATTCTTTCCTCCCATTTTTTAAAACTTTTTGGAGTATTTTTTAAGAAGATTTATTTATTATGTATACAGTGTTCTGTCTGCATGTACTCTGCACACCAGATCCCACTATAGATGGTTGTGAGCCACCCATGTGGTTGCTGGGAATTGAACTCAGGACCTCTGGGAGAGTACCCTGTGCTCTTAACCTCTGAGCCATCTCTCCAGCTCTAATTTTTCAGAATATTTTCAAAGGAGAAAGTTCCAATGTCTTGATAAATACAATTTTTCCCTAAATTCTTTGTACACTAACACTTGTAAGGTGACAGTCATAACTGCAAAAACTATTTATTCATAAAAGCAATCTCAAGTACGTTCATTAGGAGAATGCTTTCGGATTCCCAGTATATTTTTCCAATTCATAGTATCATTTTCCTGATTTCTTTAAGGTACAAAGTATTATGTTCCAGAGTACATATTAGGAAGAAAATAATAGATAACTTAAAGCTCATAGTTGGAATGCTTTTTTTCTAAGTCTTTCTCTAACTCTTTAAAATAATCACATTAGATCATGAAAAATTTTCTTTTCTGTGAGTTTTAAAAGCTTTTTTTTTTTTTTTTTTTAATAAGACATAAATGTCACAGTCTATCTGACTACTTTTCTAAACAAAACTGTGGGGAAGAGGTTCTAAATCAGGGCTGGGACGTAGCTTACTGGCAGACTGTATTTCTAACCATGAAATTAAAACTTAGCACCACAAACAAAAATAAGAACAAAACAGAAGTATATATCAAACTCTTTTCTTCATAGTAATGTAAAAACAGGTAAAACAAAGATAATTATCTTTTTAGAAACATGCAAATGGCGTCAGGCTTTTTACAGCACTACTTGGAGACTGTCCCGTCCAATTTTAGATTTTAGGAGATAGGTTATCTCAAGTTAGTGAGTGGCAGAAATGGAGTTAGGAACCAGGTATCTTGGGTAAATGGCTTTTAAAAAGTTACGTGGCACTGGTGAGAGGGCTCAGCAAGTAAGGGTGTGCTCTGCACTGCCGAGGCCAGTTTAGCTGCCATTCACCTCAGGCGACTAATTACTTATAACTCCTGCTTCCAAGGGATTCCATACCCCATTCTGACCTTTACTGAACATTATACTCATATTCACAAACCCATATATAGACACACATATACATAGAATTACAAAAACAGTAAAATCTTAACAATAAAGTTACTCTTACATATTCTTACATTCAAGCTATTGGCAGCAGTCACAATCTGGAAAGGACCAAATGATAATGAAATGGGTCTAAAACACTTCCTGCATGCTTTTAAAAGGCATCTGAAGGCAGGTGTGGTGGCATCTGCCTTTAATCCGAGCACTTAAGTAAGTTTACATAACCTATTTAAAGTACTTTTTGATAACTAACCCAACTGGGTATTCTCTATCTGTTCTACTTCATTTTGGTTCAATGAGATACAATGTGTACAGTCTCATTTGCCTTATTTAACTCAGGCAACATATTAAGACTCAGTTTTAAAAAGACAGAGGTACACACACTGCATAGCTAGAATGGTATCTGGAAACATCTAGTATCTGGAACTAGGCTTTAGAAAATAAGCAGTCAGCACTCCTATGCATGCATGTGCCAGGACATGCCTGCATCCATGTGTGCACACAGGTACAAGTGAAAAGAACAGAAACCAACTTCTAAGGAGGCTTACAGTTTTTTTCCTCCTCTTACACTTTTCAAACTAGATTTCAGTGTCACTATAGGCATATGAAAATAATTAAGCGGTAAACCCTAGACAAACAGCAGAAACAGCAGAAAGTCATGAAGCCAGCACAGCTGTTTGACACAGTTCTAGCAAAGCTGAGTCAAATGCCATGATCGTTGTCATTCTGTTTCTCACTTTCAGTTTTTGGTCTCTGTGTGTTGCATTCTTGGGGACTTTTTATATTATGAGTCATTTTATGTCTTTTTAGGAAAGTCACTATCCCTTCTGCTTTTAGGGAAGAAATTCTACTTGGCCGATTTGGAAAGCTTCCTTATGCCCTCCCTGGTAAGTGTAATAAGCAGTGAGCTAGAAATTTCTAATTAAGGCAGGCCGTTACTCCAGGAATTTTCTCGGGGTATCTGCCCCTAAGCAAACTCAAATAGTGCAATGTAAAGACAGCTGTCAGACTCTGATTGGTGAGTTAGCAAGAGTCAAGGCCTCTTTACAGTGTGCTCACAGCTCTCTGAAAATGCACTTTAAAGATAGGGGGGTCATACACGGTATGACCTCTGAAGGAGGTCAAATACACTTCTGAAGGAACAGAACTATCAATAAATAAGATCTTTATAGCATAGATGATGAAATGATATAGTAAAAGGAGTTAGGTATTAGTATTTGCTAGTCCTAAAAAGATTGGTTCATGGGTATTTTCTGTTTGTCTGGAGTGTTTTAAAAGTATAAATACTGCCAGCCTAAAAAGCAGACTGTTATATAACAAATGTGTTAACTTTGATGGAGACATTCTTTAGATTCTTTGAATTGGAATTATAGAGCTAATAATAAAAATAAAATCTGTTTTATTTGTACTTTCTAATTGTGACCGAACTTATGACCCTGGACATGTAATGAAAAGTCAAACACATGTCCAGTGACAAAATGGTATCATCTGTATTTTTTGGATAATCATTAGTCTGTCTTTGTTCTGTGAAACATGTATAAATAAAGAAGCAACCTGATTGCTAGTCCCGCAGAGCAGCATGATTCTCCTGACCATTGTACCTGACTCATTCCTCTCTCACTGACTCCTTACCTCCTCTCCTGCCACTATGTCAATAGGGAGGGGCTGGCCATGGGCAAGATAGTTTAAAATTAATAACAATTTCACAAAATGCACCTCATAGATCATACATAAACAAAAATTTCTTGGCTAGCTATGGTAACGTAAGCACTGAGAAGGCAGAGGCAGGTGGATTATTAAGAGTTCAAAGCCAGTGTAGTCAAACTAGTAAGTTTCAGATCACATCCACCAAGCCTTATAAAAACAGAACAAAACAAAACAAAAAAAAACCCAACCCTCCAAAAAAACCCTAAACAAAATAAAATTCCTTTAAAGCATTGCTTTATATCAGATTTCACAAACAGAAATTTAAAAAATATGAAAAATGATATAAAAAATTTACAAATATTTACAGATTAATTTACATAACTTATTTAAACTATTTTTGGCAGTACTAGGGACTGAATCAGAGCCTTGCACATAAAAGACAAGTACTCTATCACTGAGCTATATCTCTAGACTTTATTTTTCCAAGATAAAAAAAGTTACGATTTACTATTGTGGGTTTGGAAACCATTCTCAAGTCAAGCAAGCATTTGAAAGCTCCATCTGAGAAGCTGACATCCTTTACATTAACTCCACATTATGACTCCATTTCCAGTTTCCTGATGCTGACGTTTTGTCTACAAGTAAAACAGCATCCTGGAATGTACAGTAGGTAACATCATTGAAATCAAGAAGCTAAGGGAGAAAAGTCATGAGTTCAAGGCCAGCCAAACAACAACATAAAGAAACCAGCAAAAAAATATAGATCCCACTTAATATAATAGAAACCCAATATGTACTTTAACTTTCTTTATACCCACTACTGAAGAATAATGAAAAATTGATAGGTAGGGTCAGGAGTGGTACAAGTGTGTAATCCCAGTAATTAGGAGTTATTCTCAGCTACACCGCGAGTTGAAGGTCAGTCTGGGTTTCATGAGACCCAGGGCCTGTGAGATGGTTCAGTGGGGTAAAGGCACTTACTGCTAGGCCTACTGACCTAAATTCAATCCATGGAACCGACATGTTAGAAGGACAGAAGCAACTCCTACCAGCTGTCCTCTGACATGCACACCACATACACAAATACAGTAAATGTAATAAAAAAGTACCTTATAGTAAAACTTATTCTTTGTAAGCAAACAAAAAAAACCCACAAGACAGTCATGTTTTCTATGGTTGACAGAATATTTAAGTAAACAAACCTTTATCACCAGCTTAAATTATTAGGAACAAGACACTTGAAAATAATTATGGGAAATAATTTACTTACCTGCAGCATGCTGACTATTTCAACTTTATTGAAGAAAATGAAAGATGTCAGAGTAGAAAGGAAATTCTCCTCAAAAACAGATGGTGTTGGCAGAATGATGTCCTGAATGTACTGTACCCTGTAAGTCTGATGTATCTTCTGCCTTAGCTCTGAGTCTGTGATTGGAATAACTTCCTTAAACTTTGCAGTTTTGGTCAAGAATTCTCTATGTCTTTTTGGCTGGGCCAAAGCAGGATCATATTCAAGGCATCCCACGACATCCATGATACACTCATCAGAAAACATTACCTCAAAAAGAGTTGCCTTATTTAGGAATAAGATTCCTCTAATAATTTCATACAAATGGTGTAAGCCTTCAGTGTTTTCTAGGTTCTCACAAGCTTGGAACAGCTGCAGCAGTTTTTTGATATAGCCTTCATTTTCCAAGGCCAGAGCCAGCTTTTCCCTACGGATAGGTGAGGAAAGAACTGAGGTAACTAAGTCAGCAATCTCTTCAAGTTTACTGAGTTCACATGTGGGCAGGTCAATTAGATGACTAGTTTCTGGCATTTCTTCAAACCGCTCTTCTTCTGATTCATCAATGAGGTCCTGTGTGACTTCTACTGATGGATCCTTACCTTGAACCTAAAAATACCCAAGTACAGCTGGTTATCTTAAAATACAAAGTAACTTAATACTCTGGAATCAAATCACCGACCAATGAATTTAAGTAAAAATACCTTGAGCACTGAGCACAGTAGTTTACCTGAAACCTCAGTGCTTGAGAGGCTAAGGCAATAGAATCGGGCATTCAAGACCAGTGTAGTTCAGAAAATGACATTCTCAGGGCTGGGGCAATGACTCACTTGGTAAAACACTTGCCATACAAGCCTAAGGACCCCAACTCAACAGAATCCCCAGAAGCCAGCAAATGCGGGACATGAGGGGTACACTTGTTCATAATCCCACTGTGGGGAGAAGACAAGTGGAAAGGAGAGATGACAACAGAGGGCAAAGGAATGACTAGAAGACTATGTAATAAGAGAACCCCAATGCTGTGTGTCTCAAACACTAAGAGCAAGAAATAATACTGGCACAGTTACACCAGATGCCTGAAAGCATAGAACCTTACTTATCAAGGCTATCTCTCCTTCTAGAACCTGACAAAGGCAAAAGGGAGCCTTGTAAACTCTGTGAGTGACACTGCTCTGTGACGTTCCATCATATAAGGTGATGATGAACTGGAATAGATGACCAGCAATATTTCATTATCTACAGACCCTTACTTTTTAGTTAAAATCTGCAATACTGATAAACAAATATATTGGGAAATTAAACTAAAGTTTCTTGAGGATGTAATGCCAAAAGAAAATGACTGGCCTGGAAAAGACATAGATTTGCTAATTTCTTTCTTTCGTTTTTGAGACAGGGCTTCTCTTAGTAGTCTTGGCTGGTCTGGAATGTCTATGTAAACCAGGCTAGCCTCTACCTTCTCAGCACTGGGATTAAAGATGTGTGCTACCATTTCTGACCTTTTTTAAAAGCAACTTTCCTCTCGTCCTTTTTGGTGGTGTTGTGTGTACATGTGTGTGTACAAAAACCACCTAAGATGACACGGAGACCTGAGTGGTGCAATGGGGCATCAAGGGAAAAGAAAATGGGCATTACGGAAAAGCTCAGATCTAAAACTGAGCATGGGTTTTGGATAATAATAATGCTTAATATTAGAGTATTAACTGCAACTAATGTTCCATATTAATGTGAGGTGCTAATCTGGCTGCATTATGTGCAGCTAAGGGCAGGAGTTGCCTGGGAGGGAGCTATAGAAGAACACTACACTGCTCAGTACATTCCCCATTCCCCTTTTGAGACAGGGTCTCATTGCTTAGGCTGACCTTAAACTTTAATGAAGCTGAGAATTTAGACTTTTGATCCTCCTGTCTTTACCTCCTGATTGCTGGGATTATAGGTGTTCGCCACTATGCCAGGCTTAACCAGCGCTGGAGCTAAAGCCAGGTCTCTAGTATACTGGGTAAGCACTCTACCAATTGAATTACATTCACATTAAAAATTATAATGTTGTTGCTGCTCCTAATTTTAAGTAAAATAATAAGTTACAATAAACAATAAAAATCCAAGACTGAGGATATAGGTCAGTGTCAGAGCACTTCATCCCTAGCACCAGAAATACACACATAAACATCCATGTTAAGTATTAAAATCTTAACCTATTATCTTCCCATAGTTTAATAGATACTTCTGAAGTGAAAAGAAAAACAATAAATAATGCATATAATATTTATAAAGATATAAAAGGAAAACCTTACTTGACAAATTTTTTCCCAAATCTCATCACAGCCAGCTTTTTCTTGAAAACTTAGAGCCAGATCATAGTTTTCAGCTTCTGACCAAACAATTAAAGTATCCTGTTGAAAAAATAAAAATATGTCTCATTATCACACTACAAAATATAAACAAAAGTTGGGAGACACACTACAAAATATAAACAAAAGTTGGGAGAATTGGCATTTAAAGTACATAAAGTACATCTATAAAGTATTTTTTATACTATGACGTATTTTGCTGTGCCTTTAAAGTTTTTTGTTACATATTCCCATTGAAAGAGAAGCTTTGGTATTAAAGATAACACAGCAATTTTCTAAAAAGCTCAAGTGGGTTAGTAAGCTCTAGGTAACCGTTCTTAATCCTTCTTGAGCAAGACTGTAGACCCTCCCAACCATCCACTTTGCTGTCTGGAAAGTCAGCCATTCCATTCATCAACTTACATTGCCTACCTTTCTTTTTAACTAATTATCAGCTGAGTAAAAGCATGCTTCAGACAAATTTAGGTTTAACCCTACTTTGACATTTATATAAAAGTTTATTTTAAAAAAATAAAAAAATAGTTAAGAGTTTATTTTTATTTTGTGTGTGAACGCTTGCATGTTTGGTGTTTTGAATGGTAAATGTGTCCCACAGCCTGTGACATTTGAATACCTGGTGCCCAGTAGGTGGTGTTTGGGAAGGCTTAGGAAGTACGGCCTTTCTGGTATCGGGTGCAGGCTTTAAGGGTTCCAATGCCTGCTTCATTCCCAGTTTGTTCTGTTTGTGGCTGAAAACATGAGCCCTGAGCTCTCAGAGCTGTTCTTCCTCCCAAGTCTGTCTGCTGCCATGACTCCCCACTGTAACAGTGAGCGACTCATTACTCTGGGAACTATATGTCCAAATAAACCCTTTTGTAAGTTGCTTTTTATCACAGAAATAGAAAGGTGACTAATACAGATTCTGCTACCAGAGAATGGATTACTACTGTAAAGAAACCGATCATGTGAGCATATTTTTTAGAAGAATATAGAAGAATTTGGGGGATGGACTAGAAAAAGTTACTGCTGTAAGCAGAGCTTTATGGACCATCATAGTAGGTGCTTGACAGAGTAATGCTGAGAGCTATGTGGACTGTGGAGGCCTGGTTAAGAAATTTCAGAAGGAAACAATATTAACTGGGCTAGAGACCAGTCTTGTAATATTTTGGTAAAGTGTGGTTGCTTTCTATCCTTGTCCTGAGAACATGTCTGATGCTAAATATGCCTGACGTATTGAACTATGATGCTCCCACCAACCCCCTGAGATTTCAAGCCTAATAACTAATATTGACGCTATGACATGGTTATTAGTAACATTCTCATGCAAGAATACAATGAAAAAGGCTAAATGGGTTAAAAAGAATTACAGAACTTAGTGTTGGAAAAGAAAAAGAGCACTAAGAAACTCAATGTTGTACAAGACTTCCCCTAAAAGGAAAAAGGATCTTAAGGTGAAGCTTGTCCTACACTGGAATAAAAGGAAGGCTGCTGCTGTCAATGTCATTACTTTTCTGTTGCTCTGAAGAGAATCACAACTAACGCAACTTATAAAAGAAAGCATTTACTTGGGGCTCATGGTTCCATAGCATAGTAGTAGAGTTTATGGTCATCATAGGGGGCAGGCATGGTGCTAGATAGAGTAGCAGTGAAGGCTTACATTTGATCCATGAACACGCGACAGAAAGAGAGCTAACTACAATAAAGTGGACTTTTGAAACCAAATCTTTAAGTATATGCATATGGTATCTATGGGCACCATTCTCATTCAAACCACTACAGGTGGGCCCTACCCACCTTTTTCTTTTTCCTTTTTTAGTCCCAGAAACAACAAACAAAAGGTTCTACAAATATGATTGTGGAGCTCCACCTCAAATTGACAGCTGATCTTGGCAGTGTTACGTGCATGATGCTGGCTTTAGTGTCATGAAGGATACAAGAGTAAATACAGCCATAAAATCTGTGGTTTTAAAAAGCCACTGAGGGCTGGTGTGTGATAGGGGATTTCCTGCATGGAACCCCTGAGAGGTCACTGAATGAAGTTCTAGAAGTGAATCCTGAGTTGTGTTAGAGACCTGCTCCTCAATGTTGAAATTGCTAGAAATATGGGATATCGGACAAGGAAAGTTGCACACAGAGAGGAACCAGCCCAAGAGCAGCAGTGAGCAAAACTGGAGAGGGGAGGCCACTTAAGCCCTTTGACATCAGACATGAGCTACACAGTGTTTTAGCTTGCCTTGATCCAGAATTTTTTCCCTAAGCTACCAATCCTCCCTCCTTTTGGAGTGATCCTATATATTCTATGCCATTTCAAGGTGAAAGCATGTAATTTGCTTTTTGATTTTACAGGGAGTTGCAGTTAAGAATTTGCTTTGAATCTCAGAAGAGACTCTGAACTTGAAAAAAGTGCTCAAACTATAAAAGACTAGGGAATTTTAAGTTGGACTAAATGCATTTTGCATTACGGTAGGGCCTAGAGAGTATGAGTGCTAGAGACCAGAATGTGGTCCCTGATGGTCTCTGGCATTTGAATATTGGTGCTATATGGGGAGGCTGAGAAAGTGTGGTCCATCAGCAGTTGCAGAAAGAATAACCTAAGATTTATTCTTCATAGATTATCCTCAATTCTGCCCCTACCTTTAAAAGATTAGGTTGTCAAACTCTGTAATAAGAAACTACAACTTAGACTTTAATTAAAACACACACATACACACAATCAAACAATAATCTAACAAAATGAACAATGTTGTTTTGGATACAAAGTAAAATTTTACTTTAAAAATATAGGGGAAACCAGCATGGTGATGCAAGCCTTTGATCTCAGCACTTGGGAGGCAGAGGTCAGCAGATCTCTGTGAATTTTAAGGCCAGCCTGGTCTACATAATGAGAAGCTGTGTCAATAAATTAATTAAATTAAAAAAAAAGACAAATGTGGCTGGGGATGTAGCTCAGTTGGTAGAATGTCGAGCATGCATGAAGCCCTGGATTGGACCCCCTGGTACCATGCTGTCTTAGCTATTTTTCTGTTGGTATGATAAACTACATATCCAAAACAACGGGAAAAAGAGAGTTAATTTCCATGACTCAGCTTGTGTCAAGTTGGCAAAAACTAACCAGCATACACATAAGCTGGGTGAGCCTGCAATCCCAGCACTTGAGAGATGGAAGGCAGATCAATAGTCAAGGTGATGCTTGGTTACATTAGTTTGATGGTAGGTTTACCCACACTGCTCAAAAACCAAACCAGGCAAGCACCGCCCAACAACAAACCAAAAACACAATCCATAAGGACATACATAGATTTTTTAAAATTTATTTTTATTTTATGTGTATGAATATTTTGTCTGCATGCACATATGTCCATTACAAGTGTCTCTGGTGCCTACAGAAGCCAGAAGAAGGCATTAGATTCCCAGCATCTAGAGTTAGAAATAGCTCTGAACTGTCATGTGGATGTTGGGAACCAAACCTGGGTTCTCATCAAAGTGCTTTTAATCACTAAATCCCAGTCCCAACAAAATATATTTATTAACCATTCATCTGACTAGTACTTAGAAATATTATGACTTGGTATTAAATATAATGCTCAACCAAGAAGGGGTGGCACACACCTTTAATACCAGCACTCAGGAGGCAGAGGAACGCAGATCTCTGAGTTTGAGCCCAGCCTGGCATACATGACACGTTCTAGGACAGTCAGTTACACAGAGAAATCCTGTCTTGAAAAACAAACAAAAGAAATATAAAGTTCAGTAGCTGAACACTTGTTAGAATGTGTAAGGCCCCGAGTTCAATGCTCAGTACTGTAAAACAAAAATGTTTTAGATGTAATCAGTAAATAAAGAATGACCTCTAACTAATCCAGGTCTTAATTTCAACTTTTTATTTGTATGCGCATGCCAAAAGTTGGCCTCATGTTTTCCTCAGTTATTCCCACCTTTTTCTAGAAGGGTATCTGGTTGGTACAGATAAGAGCAGCTGGCCAGCAAACCCTAGGGAGTGGTCTCTAACCCTCTTCCTAGCACTGAGATTCCAGCACGGACCACCATGTTTGCCTTTTTACATGGGTTGCAAAGATCAAACTTAAGTTCTTCATGTGTACAGGAAGTACTTTATCAGTTGACCCATCTTCCCAAACCCTCAATGCAATCTTTTTTCTTTGCTGTATATTCAACTAACAGCTGTAAATTTTGTTCTACCTTCTTCCAGACTATATACCTTAAAAGGGAAATTTGCCACCAAAATTATTTCAAAATTTATTAGGTGCTTCATTCAGCTGCTTAAAACACCCAAAGCTGTGTTTTCAAATCTCTTTTAAAAACTAGTGCAAGTGGGTGTGTAGAGAGAGAGCTCAGCAGTTCAGAGCACTTTTGCTACTGCAGAAGACCAGAGTTTGGTTTCCAGCACCCGTACGTGGGGCAGCTCATAAGTGCCTGTAACTCTAGCTATAGGGATCTGATACCCTCTTCGGTCTTCTGCAATACCTGCACCCATGTGCACGTACATACAGACACATACACACTGTGTACACACACCCACACCCCAATCTTGGCAGGAGGAAACTTACCTAGAAAAGTTCTAGAGATCAAAGCAGAGTTGCTGCAGCCAGGCCCAGTTAAAGCATTTGAGCATCTACTCAGCTTTTCCATGTAACGGCTTCATGAATAGTACTCTCCAAAACATTGATCATATGCCTAAAGTTTACTAAATATTTTATATACACCTTTAACCTCAGCACTGGGGAGGCAGAGGTACGTAGATTTTTGTGGCTTTGAGTCTATACACTGAGATTTAGGCCAACCAGGGCTACACAGTGAGACCCTTTCTCCAAACAATGACTTCATACAACACACACATAAGAAACAAAAGGATTATATAAAAATAAAATAAGAAAAATGTTTAATGTTCGAATGGTTGTTTAATATTAACAATCAGTCTTTAGAACTACTTAGACACAGTAAACCTGCAAATGGTGGTAAACAGTTAAAATATCTTTTAACAACTAAAACTTCTGTGGAGTGCTAACTTCTTGTCAGAGTTCTGTCACATCACTGGTTGCTAACCC